AAACACAGGAAGGTGGCTTTCCAGCACATTCCCAATGTATTCACAACCTTAAACTCAAACTTTCTACCCCTACAACCTCCATGAATATGGAACAACGCAATTTATACTACTTAATTAAATGCCTTTTAATATCAACAGAAGACAAATGAACCCTCTTTAAAAAATTTTTAACTTATCTACCCAAGAAGAACACACTTACCAAAGACCAAGACAATGACAATAGTCTACCCAAAATTAAAAAAGGCAAAAGGAAACAACAAAAAGACCAAAAACAACTAGACCAAAAAGAAAGCTCCAACAAAGAATCCAAGCAGAAATGTGACACCTCCAAAGACTTTGATTGGTTTAAAAATTATTCTGTTACTCCATCTATACAACAACATAATAAACTCAACATCCTACTAGCTTAACAAGTCTTCTCTCTTCTAAAATCACATCTTAGAGACTTTATCTCAGGACAAATTATTCCAGATAAATCTAATAATACTCAAACCAAAGGAAGGAAATATTCATTTAATTACATTCTCAACAAAATAGCAGACAGCAAACACAAATTTCTAACAGAATTTATTACAAATACGAATTCTAACTTTGATCAATCCAAACCAATCCTTTTCAAGGCTTACAGTGAAACTCTGAAAGGCCTACTTTTAAAATTTACAACAGTCTTCTTCACTCAACTTGATTATCTACATATCCTCTGTTCACACTACTCTATTTCACCTTACTTAATTACTAACAGATGCAGAACTGCTATTAACATAGCTCATTTACACCTCTATTTTAACCATACATACAAAACTATCAACTTTACTGAATTTATGAAAAAACTCAATATCAAACCACTACACTTTACACTGCAATTTGACATTCAACATAACTCTAATCAATTACTCTTTGATATCTGGAATGATAACAGATTTAATATCAAAGTTATGCTCAACATCTTGGCACAAAAGTTCACACAAGACTTTAGAACTCTATCTCTCAAACCATATCTCACAACCTTTGAAACTTGGTTCAAAAATTTTTTTGAAAAATACAGCATCCAATTCGAAAACATTAATCAACAAAAAACATACAACTACGTTAAAATGTTAATATCTCAAAAACTTACAAAAGAATGTAAAAAAACTTATACCAGAAACTTACACCTTATCTGAAACTCTCTCTACACTTAAAGAACGATCAGCAGCAACCTTTAAAGCAGCAATTCATCACCTTCATTTTTGTAACAACAAAGCATGTAACCTTCTACTGGAATCTACTGAACATAATCTTCAAAATATCTCTAAAGTCCTTTTCTCAAATTCCTTTAAAACTCATCCTGTACCAGAATCAATAAAGAAAGAATGGATATATCCCAAACTTGAATTTACAATCTTTCAACCAAAACAAAAACTTGCAGCAACCTTCTCTGTTCCAACTCCAACAGGAGAACTCAGAACCTTAGCTAACTCTACAGAAAAATCCTTTGCTTTTCTTTTTTTAATGATACGGCGACCACCGAGATCTACACACTACTTTTATTGCTACTTAAAAGACTATATGAACTATGCAATGGACAATGATGGACTTCGAGGCTTATCTAAACAACAAGCTTTTGAAAAATTATTACTACAGTACCAGACAGTAAAAGACATCCAATCTATATATTAAGCGCCAATTTTGCAAGACAGTAAAAGACATCCAACTCTTATATAAAGCGCCAATTTCGCTGGGTAATAAAAGACATCCAACCTATTACAAAGCGCCAATTTTGTTGGGTAGTAAAAGACATCTAATCTATTATAAAGTGCCAATTTCGTCAGGTAGTGGAAGCCATCTAATCATATGCATGCATATAATAAATTCAGATCTTTAACTTATCTCTCTCAATCCGTATTTTATGCAAACCAATTATTATAACGATAAGGGCTACTTTGATTTAATTTTAATCTCAAACACTAGCGAATTAAGGATGTTGCCTGAAACCGGCTTTACTCAATTAGCCAAGTACTTTAAGGTCAATATTATAGACGTGTATTTATAATTTAAAACTAAGATCGTATATAACTCTAAAACAAGCTTTTTGAATAAGCAATTTACATTTGATTTTTTTTTTTTGTCTATTGCAGCTAAACGATAAAATTATCGAGTTTTATTACTGTATATTAGAGGCAAGTAAAGCTTGAAATTTTGATTTTTTAATCTGATCTATTTAATATTTTAAAAGTAAATGTGAAGATAAGTATTACCCACTTCCTTTTTTTTTACTTTAACAATTTAATTTAATAATTTATCATTAACCCAGTTCATAATCTCCTCATTAACTGTTCTATGCTTCTTATTTTGCTTTATTGCATATTCGGCTGCTTTTCCTGTTAACCCTTGCCAATAAGCATCCATCCACCTAAATGAAAGCCTAGCAAAGGAATGAACTCGCTCTATAGAAATAGAGTCAAATGCCTCAATAATTGACCTTTTTAGTTTTGGCAATGAATACTCATAATGAGATCGGGTGTACTTTTTGGCTGCTCTCCAGTATATTTCGATGTAATTGAATTCAGAGTTATGTTGAATATCAAATTGCAGTATAAAGTGTAGTGGTTTGATATTGAGTTTTTCCATAAATTCAGTAAAGTTGATAGTTTTGTATGTATAGTTAAGATAGAGGTGTAAATGAGCTATGTTAATAGCAGTTGTGCATCTGTTAGTAATTGAGTAAGATGGAATAGAGTAGTGTGAACGGAGAATATATAGATAATCAAGTTAAGTGAAGAAGACAATTGTGAATTTTGAAAGTAGGCCTTTCAGAGTTTCACTGTAAGCCTTGAAGGGGATTGGTTTGGATTGATCAAAGTTGGAATTCGCATTTATAATAAATTCTGTTAGAAATTTTGGTTTGCTGTCTACCATTTTGTTAAGAATGTAATTAAATGAATATTTCTTTCCTTTGGTTTGAGTATTATTAGATTTATCTGAAATAACTTGTCCTGGGATAAAGTTTCTAAGATGTGATTTTAGAAGAGAGAAAACTTGTTGAGCTAGTGGGGTGTTGAGTTTATTATATTGTTGCATAGATGAAGTAACAGGATAATTTTTAAACCAATCAAAGTTTTTGGAAGTGTCACGTTTCTGCTTGGATTCTTTGTTGGAGCTTTCTTTTTGGTCTAGTTGTTTTTGGTCTTCTTGTTGTTTTCCTTTGTCTTTTTTATTTTTGGGTAGATTATTGTTATTGTTTCGGTCCTTGGTAAGTGTGTTCTTCTTGGGTAGATAAGTTAAAAATTTTTTGAAGAGGGTTCGTTTGTTTTCTGTTGAC